ATAATAATAATAATAATAATAATAATAATAATAATAATAATAATAATAATAATAATAATAATAATAATAATAATAATAATATAACATTTGAGTTCTTTATTGTTGGATGAACATGATAGAAGTATATAAAATCAGGTCTGGCCTGGATAACATGGACAGGAAGTGTTTTTTCCCCATCCTCTTTCTCACCTAATTTTGATACGAGGTCATGCATCGAAACAATTATATGGAAAAGGAAAATCTTTTTATGCTGTGAAACTTGTTTCCAGCTTACTAAAAAATGCCCATCTAATTTAGATGGTTTAAAGAGACTAGATATGGTCATGGATGATTACTACTATTACTACTTGATACTAATATTGATGGTTGTTTACTTCCTCCTAATTCATAGAGAGTGTAACACAGAGAGACATCCCCCATCTAAGCTTATGAGTTTCCCAAATGCTTCCAGATAGTCACTGTGAACATAGAAAGCTGGCCTAAATAAGCTTACCACCTACAGTCTGTCACCAGATGTTAGATATAATTTGGTTACAAGGAATGCATTAAATGTTATGGAGGCCTCTACTTCTTAATCCAACCACATAGAAGACTATTGGTACTCAAAGTTGGTATAAAGGCATAACAATTGAGAAGTCCTGAAGGGCAGGGGAAGAAAGCATAATCCATTGTGGCATAACATTTGACACAAAGCAAGATAAGAAGTAAAGGTAGTTTTCTTGTTGCAACAACAATTAAGACTGGAACTGCCATCACAAAGCAACATGGCCATAATAAGTCACTGTGTCATTTAGTTCTAGTAGGCCAGGTTGGCAGTCCTGGTTGCAGATATTAAGTGTGGAAGTATACACAACTGTGACTTCCAACTTGCTTGGCCTACTGATATTTGTGGGAAGCAATCAGGGAACATCTGAAATTGTGATTAAATGACTGTGAGATCACTGCAGTGGCTAGAACTCCCAAGGAGTGGTCATAAGTCCTCTTGTTCAGTGCCATCACAAGTTTAAATTATCACTAAATGAGTGATCATAACCTGAGCCCCAACTGTACTGAGCTTTTAGCTATTTTATTATTAAAATAAAGAAATACAAAGAGAAAAAACCTCTAACTATATTGCATAGTAACAGTTGAAAGACACACAAAGAAACAACTAGTAAGAATAGATAAACGTAAATAAAATTTGTATGGGAAAATATTCTAATAATATGTTCTTCTCTTCCCCTCTATTTATTTGTCAAGTTGACTACAACTTGAATATCTAGATTATTTCCTCTAGAAATGTTTCTGGAACTGCTGGCCACAACCTAGAGCGGAAGACCAAAATTAGAGAATATACAGCAATGGCAAAATTGACAGTTTATAACCATAATAGAACTCTATCAAACTTTAAGCAAGAATGGTTCCCTTATATACTACACAATGCACAGGAGGGCAAATTTTAAGACATTTGAATCATGATTTTTAGGAAGAAAACTATGACACCAATAAAACCAAATAGATGAAAGGATTTGAACAAATGCTAGCAATTACCTTCAATGTTTAATGTATAGCATAGGTTTGAGGTTTTAATAACCTCAATTTAATAAATTTGTAATTTGTTGTTAAAATTCTTTTTATCCAGGAATAGTATTCTGCTTGGGTTGCTCTCCATCAATTTATTCACAGTGCTTCAATTTGTGTACAGCTGAAGTTTTACAGTTCTTCTTCTTCTTCTTTTTACAGCCTTCAAGTTCTGTGGAGACTTTTTTTGATTCTATTGTGAATCAAGCCCAGATCCCCAATGTTTTTTCCATGCAGATGTGTGGACCTAGTTTGCCTGTTTCTGAAACTGGTACTAATGGAGGTAGTCTTGTGGGTATCTGTCAGGTTAAATATTAGGAAAAATTGCATTTTCTTAGACTATTTAATATAATTAAATCCAATAACTTGACATCTTTCTCATATCCTTTAGAAACTGTATGGCTATGGCAGTTTGCTAAATTCTCCTAATTGATGGTTAAATTGATGGAATAAAGATTTGTCATAACTTTTATTATTATTTCTTACAATTAGCTTAATAGTGACCCAAATATATCTGCTGAATTTTAAAGTTCAAGTTTAAATATATGCTTTCTTTTGTTAACTATTGTTAAACTATTGAGTCAAAGTACAACCTGGACAGTTACAACTGAATTATCAATCTTCTAGTACTTTGCTTTTAATAATGTTGAAAACTGAACAATAAGATCTGAACCTTAATGGTTTCAACATGAATATAAATTGAAACATAATTTCAAATGCATACATTCTGTACACAATAACCATAGTTTCTCTTTTGTTTTTTTAAAGGAAAGTTAAGAATTTTTCTTCTTATTCATTTTGTTCTTTAAAATTCAGTATTTTAAATGTAATTTATTGTGTGAGAGAATAATCCTATCTGTATTTTATTTTTAAAATGTGTCCCATTAAATTCAGTGGTGCTTACTTTCATAGAATTACACTAGATAAATGTATAGTTCAAAGCTATTTAATATTTAAAAGGACATAACGTGGTGACACTTTGTACTATTAGTGATGATTTTCCTCGTAGTAAGATACTTTTAAAAAGTAAACAACACAAAAAGAGGTTGCAGAACCCCATTTTATTCAAATTAATGTTCTGATTTTTTTCATTGATCCCTGAGGTTAAAATTAATGTTTAGATACTACCCAAAAACATAAATACCCATCCGGCTTTTTATCTTGCTGACATATTGGGACTACAACTTCTCCAGTTCCCATTCAACAAAAGAATGACTGGCTGAATCAGTGGTGGGATTCTACCAGTTTGGCCTGGTTTGCATGAATCGGTAGTAAAAAATGCTACCATTCGGCTGAACTGGTAGTTAAAAAAACAGCTGCCAGTTTGGCAGAACCCGTATTTCTTTTTTTCCCCTTCCTGATGATCAACTGTTCCGGCAATCAGCTGTGCCGGGATCCCCCTCGCTGTCTTACTGCTTCACCCAGGAGGCTTCTCGGAGGCCCACGAGGCAAAAGGGGGCATGGGGGGTTGCTGCGCAGCCCCCCATGCTCCATTTTTTGCCTTCCTGGGCCTCAGGGAAGCCTTCTGGGAGCAAAAACGCCCCCCAGGAGGCTTCCCTGAGGCCAAAAAAACAGAACGGGCGGGGGGTGATACACCAAAAAAAAGAAGCCATGCCCACCCAGTCACATGGCCATGCCCACCTAGCCACTCCCACCTAGCCATGCCCACAGAGCTGGTAGTAAAAATATTTCCATCCTACCCCTGGCCTGTATGGATGGACACCTACTCCTTACATGGTCAACATTTGGATCAACATTTCAGTCAACTGAACAAATAAATGTAGAAATCACAAATATAATTGAACTTTGTTCTGCAGCCTAGGAAGTCTTTAAATCTAGTAGATTCATTGCCTTCTCCATCTTCCTGTGATGAACAGATCTGTAGAAAGCCCCATTTTCCGTAGGAATGCCAACTATTGAGAAAGCGTCAGAGGACAATTTCCCTCTGCAGCTGTGAAGGGAATAGCCATAGCCACCCAGGACAATCTCTTAAAGACATGGATCTACATCTTTAGTTGATTATATTTTTGATATTTCATCGATTAGAAATCAACTAGAATTGTATATATTACAGTAGCATAACAAATGCACAGAAACTGTCTTCCCAGCCGTGGCTAATGAAGGGAATCAGGGCCCTTTCCTCCCTCGTAAGCCACGCAACCCATGTTGCTTTCTTCTCCATTCCTCCCTGCATGCCCTAGGATGAAGAGGGGGTAGGCCTGGTTCTTCCTCTGAACACCTTCTCCCTTGTTTTATCTCTTCCCTGTTCTGCCCAGCCAGACTTTGGCCTTCCCCAGCCTCTACCACAGCCAACAGAGCCACAGTCTCTCCCCCTGTCAGCTGTCTGGCTTCCTCCTCGGATTCAGACTCCGACAGGGGCATGACACCCTCTACTTAGAACCACAATTGAGCCTAAAATATATGTTGGTTAGTGAGACATTTGTTAAGTGAGTTTTCCCCCTTTTATGACCTTTCTTGTCACAGTTGTTCAATGAATCATTGCAATTGTTTAATTAGTAACATGGTTGTTAAGTGAGTTTGGTTAACCCATTGTCAGAAGGTCCCAGAAGATGATCATATGAACCCAGGACACTGCAGAAGTCATAAATATGAGTCAGTTGCCAAGCATCTGAATTTTGATCACGTGAGGATGCTACAATAGTCGTAACTCTGAAAAATGGTCATAAGTCCCTTTTTTCAGTGATGTTGTAACTTTGAATGGTCACTAAGTGAACAATTATAAGTTGACAACCACCTATACGCGTAAGATGCAATCACCTTAATGCTTCAAATGTTTTGTTCACATCTCAGCATGTTGTGATGTCCCTTTTTCAAATTCTTTGTACAGCTCTATTAATGTTGCTAGAAAAAAATTTAGATTGTAAGACTTTTATTTAGAATCCTATATTCCTTGCTTAAATGTATTTCTCTCCCTCTCTTTATGTATTTATATACATTACTGTTATTGAATCATTTTGAAAACCATTTGTTAGATTGTAGACATATTTTGTAACTCAATTATATTTGATTATATGATAAAGTAATTTTTTTTTAAATCTTTTCAGGTATTGGGTGGGATTGAACCAAGCCTATACAAGGGAAAAATCTGGTATACACCTATTAAAAAAGAGTGGTATTATCAAGTAGAAATACTGAAATTTGAAGTTGGGGGCCAGAACCTTAACTTGGACTGCAAAGAGGTATTTTTAATAAGGAAAAATTATAATTTAATATTCTTCTACTTAATGACAAATTTCACATGTGTGGGATCTGTTCCACAGATTCTCTCTTTGTATATGCAGAAAAGGGCATTGAGTTCTGTCCCTGCATAAATTCAAAGGAGCATAGGCCTGAAAATTGCCCTTCACTGTGGTTGTCATTATATTTTGCCAAGAACTTTCTTCTTCTTCAAATTAGTTAATATGTTTTTTAATGGCCATTTGGGAAACAGATTGATATGTAAAATGAGTAACCATTTTACTGTAGTTATTTCATTGTTGACTTTACTTATTATTTCTGTTGTACGAGCCTAACAAAACTTGGTTGTATAAAAATAGTATTAAATAAATCACTGCTAATTAGTATTTGAGTGGCAAATAAAAGTTGAGCAGTAGTAAATGTATAATCTTAGATGTGCACGAAAGTAAACTTCTGAAGAAGTTTATGCAAAATACTGTATAATATGAGCTATACGTATCAATTAAACTAAAAATCCAAGGCCTGTGGGTGATGTCTGAATGATTTTATGTTTTTAGGAATATTTGTTTATTTATTTTTAATGTCACTCAAAATCCATATTTGGACAGCCAATAAGTTTAAATGAATAAACAAAGAAATAAAATAGAGTATATCTTTCCAGTTGCTGAGTAGCACCATTTATATATATCTGAACTTCAAGTGAGTTCCCAAAGCTTCTGGATGTGTCTTGCATTATACCTGTTTCTTTGTATAACATAGAAACTAATGTGGCAGGTTTACAGATTTTGTACAAATTTAGTCTGTAATGAGTTCAGTGGGATTTTTTTCTAGTGCAAATTTATTGAAATGAAATTGCACAAAAGCAAATATTATTAAGATTAGATTTCTGATAAACTAAGTTAATTTGTTAACCTAGTTTAGTTTGTGTTAGGTCATCTTTTTCTGGTTTCAATTTCTCTTCCTCACATACTTTAATACAGTTGAATGAGAAATATTAACACTTCAGCCCAAGTCTAATTTTGGTGTGATCAATTAATATTACTAATAAGATGACACCAATTATGTATATTTATCCCACTATAATCATGTTAGCCTTCAGATTATTTTAAGGCTCTTGATTATTTTTGCTTCTCTTACTTCCTTTAGCTATTCTCTTCTGGTCAAATAATATGCGTACTCCAAAAAGTATGTGTAATACATATAGTCCTCAACTTACAACCACAATTGACCCCAAAATGTATGTTGTTAAGTGAGACATTTAAGTGAATTTTCCCCACTGCCTTGCCCCAGTTGTTAAGTGAATCACTGCAGTTGATAACTTAGTAACATGGCTGTTAAGTGAATCTGGCCTCCCCATTGACTTTGCTTGTCAGAAGTCACAAAAGGTGATCACATGACCTTGGGACACAGCAACGGTCATAATTATGAACCATTTGTCAAGTATATGAATTTTGATCACATGATCATGGGGGATGCTGGAAAGGTCATAACTGTGAAAAATGGTTATAAGTCACTTTTTTCAGTGCCATTGTAACTTTGAATGGTCACTAAACAAACAGTTGTAAATCAAGGATTACCTGTATTATTTTCCCCACCTTTGAGTGAATTGTAATGACAATGAAAAATAATAGATGCTTCCATTTGGACTGCTGCAAAAAGACAGTATAGAACATGGAGAAAGAAATAATGTGTGATCTTAGAAGGATTGGAATTGAAAAAAAAAATAGTCCTACTTTTGATTATATGCTCAAAGGCACCATTCTTTTTAATGGTATATAAAGATCAAAGAGTTAAGGGGAAGAAGGAAAAGATCTATGGGGGAAAAAAATTCTTACATGGGTGGTTATGAAAATGTCCCGGGGAAATTGGAAAGAGAATGGAATAGAAATTGAGTGGTGTTGGAGCAGATTTGTACAGAGTAGATTTGCCCATTCGCCCCCCCCTCCCCCCGTTTGCTTCCTGTTCACTGCAGCCCATTCACCGCTACCCGTTTGCCGCTGATCACTGTGGCCTGTTCACCACCGCCCATCGGTGGCAAATGGGCCACGGCGAACAGGCCACGACAATCAGGCAATAGTGAATGGGCCACATTGAACGGGCAGCGGTGAATAGGCGATGAAAAGCCGCGGCAGCAGTGGTGATCCCCGATGCCTAGAACAGCTGATCAGAGGTATTCTAGGAGGCCAATCCAACCACCAATCAGCTGCTCAGTAGCAAAGGCTCCAGCATTCTCCGGTGGCAGTGCACCAACCTCCTTCCCCGCCACCGCAATATTTGCTCTGTAAGATGCACAGACATTTCCACCCACTTTTGGGGGGGGGAGGGGGGAATGAGTCTTATAGTGTGAAACATACGATATTTGGTTCCTCTGATACGAACAGATCATTGTAGTTTGACCTAGTTATGAGTTGGAGACAAATACAACTGGAGTTTTACTAGGTAGCAGAATTATCAAGCTCCATAAATATAATTCCATCACATCTTCTTTTTTATGTGTCCCCAAGTGGAGGAACCTGGGGTTCTATTAAAAAAAAATTGAAAGTAGGTCCTACAGGCTGGGTAGGCATTGTTATTTGTGATAATTATATCTTTACTTTGCTATAAAAATGAACTAGATATGAAAAGCCATCTCTTTCAGGTTCATTTTCAGGTAAGAAGGTCCTTTAAAGGATGAAGCTCATCAAGATGCACTTAGTTAATTTATACTATAGGGACACTTGAGAAGAGAGGTCAAGGCTGGTCTTATGATTCCTTTGGGTTGTTGTGCTAGGGAAAACCTTACTCTCTCTCATCAAGTCAAGATAATTCAAAGACCTTATTGCCTCATTGTATGAATTCAGTTTCAGAAAATCTGATACTGCCCAAGCCCTACGATAGAAGTTTTCATTCACCCTCTCTCCCCCAAAAGTTTACTACTGACTTGCTAATTGGTATGACAAGTGTTTTCTTCCCTCCCCCCCCCCCCCCCCCTTCAGTACAATTCAGACAAAGCAATTGTGGACAGTGGAACAACTCTCTTGCGGCTTCCAGAAAACGTCTTTAGTGCTGTTGTGGGCGCCATTACACAGACTTCTTTGGTAAGCTATGACTTATGAGTTTGTCTCTCAAGTTAAGTTCTTAAAGGAATTCTTTTCAATGCTTATAGTATGATGGGAGTTATTTTGTAATCAAAAGATTGGCACTAAATGAGATTCTTTTTTCTCCTTTTTGGATGGAGACTTGATGGAGAGATGTCTAAGTTAAATTTCAATGCTATCAAAATCATACTACAGCATTTCTATAGTCTCAGTGTATTGAAAATGTCATGTATGTAGTAGATTCGGGGATAAAATCTTATTTTGTTATTGGTAACACTAAACGAGATACATATTTAATCTTATTTTTAAGGCATAGCTGTATTTCTTTTAAAGACTGATTTTCTACATGTGGTATAAAGTTCAAAATGTGGATCATATTAATAAATGCAGTGAAACATACACATATCTAAAAGTAGAACAATGAAGTCAGGATGTTAGAACTCTCCACTTTTTCTGCCTGCCCCTTAGCTAGACCCAGGATGATAACCCAAACCAGGTAAGTAAAAGTGACGTTACTGAAGCAGTGCATATCAAGAGTGGACAGTGTTCTTATGGTCTGGAACTGCACCTTTTAAAAATGGTCTTGATCTATGGGGGTTGCAAGACATGGAGCACAGTGTCATGAGGTTACTTACTATAGTAAGTGAGGCCAGCATTTCTTATTCTTTTTGTTTTTGCTCCAATTCCTCAAAAAGTTAGAAATGTTGGTTTCATCCTTGCCAGGAATATTTTGTGGACAGCAAAAGGAGAGCAAGACACACACATATATACGTATACGTATACGTATACGTATACGTATACGTATAC